CATAATGGATAAATGGTTAAACAGTCCCTTGTCTGTTTCCTTATTGCCACTGGCAAGCAAAATAGTTCGACTGATCCGGTACATTGAGTTAGCAGCTATAATCTTCACTGGCCAATTCAGAGGGTTATCCATTAGGAAATCGTTTACTTCTCCAATGAACTGCTTAACAGTCCTTTCAGCTTCATTGGAAAGCAGTTCTAATGTTTCCTTGGAGGTTCTGCCTCGAAGACTTGCTTTGCGGAGATCCTTATCTTGCCACTTGCAATATAAATCAACTCCTACCCATACAACGTCTGCTGCATTTCTGATGATTGATAAAGCCCCATTTTTATCCAGGCTTTTCTCTATACGTTTTAACAATGCAAGGCCTTCTCCGACACACCTCACTAACTGATTAGCATTGTCATTTGAAATGTTGGGAAGTGCAATTGCGATGCATGTAAGAGTCACCACAGGTAGAGACCAGCTGTTTGGAGGCTCATGAGAATGTAAACTTGGAACTCGATTATTGTCAAATTCTCTCACCCCATTGAAGTTGTTAGATTTATGTAGAAGTTCGATTAGGTTGATAGGCTTCTGTCTTTTCCCCTTCTCCATCGTCTTGTCCACCTCATTCCAGATGTTTTTGAGGGTCTCTTTTGTAATTCCAGGCTCTCCTGGAAGTAGAAGAACATTGAGAGTTATGTCCTACTGTGCATCGCCACCAGATTCCGATCCTCCGTTATTATTAGAAGCACCAATAACAAATATCTTCAGCTGCTTGATGTGGTGGAAGAACGAGGCAGAAATGAGAAGAACAAGTTTGCTTGCCCAAACCAGTAGAATCTGTACTCCAATGCAGCAATTCAGAACTAGTCTTCTTACAGCATGAAGAAATTTTTTCCACTTGTGGTGTCGAACTTGTAAAGGTAATGAGCTTTCTCTCCAAACCACAAGTCTCTGAATCCAGTAAGTCTCGATTTTCAACTCGTTTTTGAAGCTTTTCCTGTTTAAATCAGAACACTTATACCGGGCAGCAGCAAACCATCTGAATGCAGGGGCAATAGTACCGAATGCCATTCCAAATGACTGAACGATAAGAATCCAATTGATTGACCACTTATAGGCAGAAAAAATATCATCTTTTCGTAGTCCCATTTTCAAAATATTAAGTCCTGCTATAGTGAGAGCAAGTAATACACACATTAAACCTGAAGCAGTGCAAGTCACACTACGCGACATTACAAACTGGGGGCATCCTGTCACTGCCATCACCCAATATTTTTTGATCACTAGTCTCAATTTGTCAACTGGAAATTTTGGCCCGTCCACTTTTTCTTCATCTAAAGCTATTTTGCGCATTTCTTGGTACTTGCATTCTATATATCTTCGGGTAGTTAGAATGGTCAAAGCCGAAGACCAAAACATAACAAGTGAAATAAACATAAAACCCGTTGCTACAATTTCTTCGCAAAATACTTGAAAATAAACAAAATAAGGACGCATTTGGATATTGTGGATACAAACATTGCCAATGACTGTAATTATCATAATGCTTAAAGCACCTAGGTTTAGTAGCATCTCATTATCGTCCATAGATCCCAAAGATGTTATAAAATTTGCCATCGCAGTTGAGAAGAAAACGAGGCAACTAAGCCGTGCAAGGGAATCACGAATCCCATGCGTATCAGCAGTAAGATCCACTGGTATTTTCAATGTGACAGCTAATAGCGTCAAAGACGTGGCATTGAAAGAGAAGTACTTACATGGGAACCACAGCATTTTACTACGAAAACCATGGAATGCATCAGCTGCCATTGCAAGGGCGCAGACTACCAAAGCTGCTGCAATATACATGCCAATCCATGGCATTGGGGAATCCAATTTGTCTTGCATAGCATTCTGATAATTGTGCTTGCAGTCATTATAACAGGATAATGAACCCATGAACTTGTCTCCGAATTTCTTTTCTATTTCTCTCCCCAACTAGATTGGTATCTTTGTCTTCTTTTGAGTTACTGACTTTCGGTTGACCATACGATTTCAACTGGCTCTATCTACATGTCCTTTATTTTATTGAAATAAAAATAAATAAACAAAAACACACCCAATGATGTATAGGAAAATATAAATCTTGTATAGTCACTCCGTCTATCATACTTTTTTATTTTTGAATCTAGACACAGCTCTTCACATTGTCTGTTTTTTTTTTTTTTCCCTTTGCGACTGTCCTTTTTATTCATTCACTTTTGAATTTTTATGTTAACTGAAAACAAAAAGTGGGGATCTGTTTCTACCAATTCAATAAGTTAGAGACCTTCACTTTAATTTTCTGTTCAATGTTTGACAAGTTGACTTCGTATTATTAAGTCTTTGGAGTTGAAACTTGACCTAGTTATGGTTTCCTACCGTGCTCTTTACGGGACTAATTTCTCTATTCCTCATAATTACTGGAACCTTATCACAATCAAGCCAATTATGAGTTATTTTTATAAATTTATTAGTTAATTTTAGGAAAAAAATTATTTCAAAATTAAGTCCATGTTTGTCTCCAATTCTTTCAAAACTCTTTTTTTTAAGTACTCATTTTTAACGATACATTCATACAATAAAATATTTTACGCGTAAATTCAAAATTTTACCCTACTTTTTAACCAAAAATTCTCCAAAAATTCACTATTCAAAACAATGTTTTTTTTTTTTTTTTTAAAAAAAGGCCACCATGGGTTAATTGTAACCACTTTTTAAGTTTCGTAACCTAATCTTTAAAAACAATTTTTAATATAAAAATTTTGAATATCTTGATCAAACCTTAAAAGTTTTTGTTAAGCTTTCATAAAGTCTCTCAATTTTGTTCTAAGAACGTTTCTCACAGTTCTCAAAAGAATAATGTTATTTAGTACACTAGTGCTACAACATCAATTTAGCTAGCGTTATGTGATAG